TCGATTCTGATAGGGTTTCTGAGACTGTAAATCCTGTAAAGAGATGAAGCAGACTGCCACTTCTTCCTCCTGTGGGGCACCTGGTGGGTTCAAACCATTGACCTGTAGGTTAGCAGCTAGCGCTTTAATCACTGTGTCACTAGGGCTCCTTCCCATAAAGATTACAGTCTACAAAACCCTATGGGGCCGTTCAACTCTGTCATATGGGGTCGCTCTAGAGGGCACACAACAACCGATCCAAGTACTAATCAACCAAAGGAAAAGGAATCTACTATTTGTAACTAAAGGAGCTCTGCTGGTACAGTGCCTAAGGCATTTGACTGCTAACCCGAAGGTTGAAGGTTCAAACCAACCAGCTGCTCTGCAAAAGGAAGACAGGGCAATCTACTTCTGTAAAGATTTACCACCTCGGAAACCCAATGGGAGTCACTATGAGTCAGAATCTACTCCATGGCAGGGAGTTTGTTGGGTTTTTTGGGGGGTCTGCAACTATGTAAACATTAGTGTTTTTGATATTTAAAGAGAAGAGTAGTTACTTTTGATACCTTAAAGAGAAGAGTAATTACTTTCATTATGTTGAGTTCAAAATATTTAGCAAGACAAATGCAGTTTATGACTAGGTCAAGAGGGAAGAAAACCAAAGAAACACCAGAGATGCCTGAAGGGCACTCACTGCCTTTCTCTGAAAGGCAGAGCAGGTAAAAACGCCTGGGATGGAAACTTCATAGCTAAATCCAACTCTGGCAACTCCACAGAAAAAGGGAATGAAAAGTGAGCAGACAAAGAGAACAGACAAGACCAGAGACCGTGCCTCTGAAGCCGAAGCTCAGGTCAAACCATGCGTGAAACAGAGAAACTGAGGGGACCAAAAACCAAGAACAGGTACTCCAACTTGATCTCATGGCAGTGCCTGAAGAGGGAAATGCAAGTTAGACTGCAGAAGAACTGTCAAGTCTGGGAAGTCGATTCCTTACAAGGTTTCGGCATTCTTAGTCCAGGGGAACTGATGGGCTAAGGATGCCTGCAGCGCTTCCAGCTCAGAGGGAGTACTGGGAAAGAAGACGCTGGGATTTCCTTATTATGAATACAGAGAGGGAAATGAGATAAGACCCTCTTACATCAACTCTTACTATAACAGACAAATTACACAAGAATTCCAGACAAAGAGGAAGGGTTCCAGAACGTGGGTTCACTGCTGCTTTGAGCAAAAACTGAACGATAAATAATAAAGATTTCAAAACTTAACACAGGAGTTGCTTCAGTGTTCTAATTTAACCTTCAGAATCAAAGATCTAAGGAGCCATGAACTGAGATCCCATTCCACCTCAACACTCTGTACTCCTGAGTTATTATGAGAACAGACTGCAACCAATTCAACTCCTGTTCCAAAATGCAACAAGCAGCTTCAACAGGCCCTGCTGAAAGAAGCGGCATGGCTCATCATCTCCTTGGTTTACTGATTCATATTTTGGTGGCAAGGTTACAATTAGCTCACCGGTGGAGAATAAACCTATTTATAACACAGCAGTCCACCTGAAAGACACAATCATCTAGAAAGGTGTTTGCAGGAAAATGAAGTGCAGCCTATTTCTGTACTGACTGCAGACCCCCAAGGTCCTTTCGGATGAAGTCCTCAGTCTAACCTTCCTGTGCTCACAGTCACCATTCTGGCCACCTCGGAGCCTCCATGTTCTTATGTAACATTTACATTGTGCCATAAACATACTCAGAGTTGCGTAAGAATTAAAATATTGCCAAACCAATAAAGCCTAAAGCAGGTCACTCCCTCCAGGCTGTCTTTGACTGGCACAGGTATGCTGTCAGGTCTACAGATGTAAGGGCCTGTCAAAAAGACCAAAATTAACTTCAGGAAATCTGAAATGGGTCAAAGAAGAAATTAACACACTGTGACATGTGGTGCTTCTATCAATCACAGAGTATGTTATTCTGTCCCATAAGATAAAAACTAACCCAACATTGCTTATTCACTGAAGTCAGAAACTGTGTCTAAAAATACCTCTCAACCAACTGGCTATCAGTAAGTCAGACTCACAAATGTCCCAATAAGAACGGCATGGAACATTTCCTTACTTTATAGAAGAAAAACTAAAGCAGAGTTACAGAAAGGTTAAGTTACTTGTTCAAGGACAACCTGTAAGAGAGCGAAGTTCTGGGGCCGCAAACCAGCCTCCTCCCTCCATCTGGTTCTAACCTTTAACCAGAGTAGCCATTTTAATATGTTTTACTCACATCTGTTCCAGGAGCTGTTTTAGCAAAACTAATCATAGATTCTCTTTCTCTCTACAAGAGTTCACTTCACTGGACTTCAAATACATGTCCACTCAACAAAATTACAAGACTTGGCCTGAAATGAGATGTTTAGCTTGTTCAAAGAAATTCAAAAGGTTTCTTATCAGGAACTCAAATGTCTCTCTTATGGCATTTGTCTTGAGAAATGAATGCCATGTTCTTGTGCTACTAATTCAAATTTACATTTTAAAATACTAATGTGAAAATTCCAGAGCTAGGCCTTAGAACATGGTACACCTATCAGATGGATGCTGTTTCTAACCTGAAACTCATTCTTCTTCTCACTGGCCTTTTACTAAGTCTCAGTTAATTCATTAATTAACAGAACACCTATCCCTTACTGCCCTCATTATCAAATCCAAGTACCATGTATCAGAGCTGCCTGGCTCTGCCACTCCTCCAGCCCACGTAGGGGAACACTATATAGGAAATGCAGGGGAGGAAAAAAATCAACTTCTTGTTATCCCACAGCCTCTATTTTCCCAGAACTGACGTTTTACTTTAAGCCTTTTGCAACAGTGGTCTCCGTAGCATGCACTATTGGCAACTAGATGTGTCCCGGAAAAAACTGTAGTGTCTGGCCAAGAAGTTTAAAGGCCTTCGAGAATGTTTGCTGGACACACAAACTAATTTCCAATTCACCAAAAAATAGAAACTCACTCTCTGTTATGCCCACCCATCCTCACCCCAACAAACAAATTTTAGGAAGGTTACAAAAATGAACTCTGCCCATTCAGAACCAGCTGGATTACCAATTAAACATTTTTCACTAGGCTCACAAGAAAAACCCCACAGACACTACACCAAACCAGCAGGGAAATGTTTTTTGAAATTTCTGCATATATTAGACACAGGACAAAAATGTTTATGGAAGGAATTTAAAGAATTATTAGTACACATATAAAATGACAGACCTGAAAGCTGAGTCTCCTACCAGAGCAATAACATTATGTTATGTTCCAAAAACATGACCCACAATAAGGCCCAGTAAACATCCTTATTCACTAAAACCATTATCTCACCACAAATGTCAGGCTCCATTCATACACCTTCCCTGTGTTTATCAGACCATACGGCAGTTTCCCACTCCACAGAGCAGCGAGACCAGAGAACACACACGAGGTGCTTAGCAGAACCATTCTCCAAGTGAACAAAGACCCCACTGCACAGGCTACACCACCAGGAGCAAAATTCAAAGCCAGAGATAATGAACTTGTTTTTGAGACTCCCAAGTGGGATGATGTCTTTTCTGATTGTCTGGTTTATGAAGGAAGCTGGAACCCACCTGAGAATCATTATTTTCAGTGGAGAGGAGAGCCACTTGATCTCCCATTGCTGGAAGGTTAGGGGCTGCTGATAAGTCAAAGCAGCAGGCTTTGTACACAGGGAGAGAATACAATCCCGGTGTCTCTCCCAGATCCATCTGTGGGTCAATAATCACTTCAATAGAATTGCCAGATATAACCTTCATCTGTTACCCCAATGCCAAAACAAATTGGAGACGACTCTTCTAAATGAAATATTCCAGGGTTTCATCTGCTCTTTGCAGCCTCCAAAGCCTCATAAACACCATGTGTCGAGTGTCCCACAGAAAGGTACCCATCTCTATAGTGGGAAGGGTGGAGGTGGTATCCAGGGAGGAGAAGGCTCCAGGGGTTGGAGGGTAATAAGGAGTGTGTGTGAGGGTGGGGAAATGGGGGAGGGGGGTGCTGAGAAGAGGGATTGTGTGGGAAGGTAAATAAGTACTGACCAAGGACCAGGGAGACGTTCCAGTGGTGGGATCTTTAAATAATCTTGGGGGTTGGAGACAGGTTCTAGGATTTCACCTGAAAGGCATCCACAAAGTAATTAACTGAATGGGCCCCCTGGGGTGGGCTTGGGGGAGGGAAGAAGAAAAGCAAATACACCTAGATTCAGATTAACCTTTCTGGAACTAGATTTGGGAAGGTTTGAATGATTCAGAAGCCAACCTCCAAAAAGGGTTTAGGGGCCTGTTCATCTCACTTCCTCCAAATAGCTTCCACAGGGCATATGTGTAGAGGCAGGGGGCTTAGCCCCCACTCAACTCAAGGGACTAAGAGAAGGGGAAGTGTGACTCCCTTTCCCAGAACATTAGGGAGGAGGACAAGGGAAGAGAAGAGCCACCCCAAGTGCAAGATCTGAAGGAAAGGTTAGAGACCCCTCCCCCTATCATTGGAGGTGCGCAAGGACCCTCAACATCAGGATACCTCGTAGTACCAAAAACCCCATCGCCCGAACTCCACAATATTGCCGGGAAAAAGGTGCCCCCCAATAGCATCTGGAGGGAGAACTGAAGCCCCCCGCCCCTGGGCATGCTGAGAGGCAGAAACCATGGCTCTCCATATCTTGGGGACGGAAGCCTGGACTCTTCTCTATGGAACATGGTGAGGCTGGGAGCGCGACCCCGGAGAGCTCCTCGAATCCAGTTCCGCCTGGAAGGGGCTTCGGGTCCCCAGGGGCCTGGCATGAGCTCAGGACCGGCTGGGCGGCCGCGCCTGTGAGGTCGGGGAAAGCTGACTGAGGGTCACCCCGGCTCCTCGGGGACCCCCTCCCGGCCATATTGTGCGCGTGGGGAGGGGGCGCGCTGTAACCTAGGGGCCGTGGCTCGAGGCCTCGCCCTCGCCGGGCCCTCTCCATCCCGGCCCCCGCCCCCCCGGCCCGGGACTCACCCTGGATCCCCCGGGGCCCAGACCCGCCGCTGCCCGCGAGCAGGAGGACAACAAGAGGGAAGAAGGAGGAGGCTCCGGCCGACTCCGCCATAGTAACCACCGCCGCCGCCGCAGCCCAGCAGCGCCCAGCGCGCGCGCGCGCGCCCCCGGC